CCTGCGGCGCTCTGCGGCCCCGTCCAGTTGGATTCCTCTTATGCACAATCCGCGGACACGGCCTACCCGCGCGGGCCCCACGGGGGGCGGGTTGGGGTGTGGGGGCCCAGCCAGCGCCCCCTCCACCCTTGCGCCCCGGATGGTCCCGCTGCGCATACAACACGCCGGCGCGTATGTGCACGCTCAGGCGCCTCTCACTGGAAGGCCGAGGGAATTTCAATGTGTTGTCGGTCCGGCTCATCGTGGGCCTCGTTCTGCGAGGCCGCCGTCGTCCTGCCACGCCGTGCCAAGCCGTGCCACGCCGTGCCACGCCACGCGAAGACACGACTGACCGGTGAAGCCGCGCGGAGCGGCCCGGGTCGCCTCGTGGTGTTCCCGCGCCCCACCGCGCCCCACCGCGCCCGCCACGCCAACGACCCCGCCACCCCGGACCGGCGGGGCCAGCGGGGCGCTCTGACGGCGTGCCAGCAGCCATCCAATATCCGCCGTTGTGGCGCGGCGAGGGTTACGGGCTGCGGATCGCAGACTGGCATTCATATCTGTTCGCAGCGCGCTCACGGTGGAATGGAGAGTGTGGTCGTTGTCATTAGGGGCCGCGGAGTCTCTGTCGCTCTCACGGGCCGTTCCCCATGCACGGGTGCGACGGAGACAGGGCGACGAAAGCAGCGTGCCGGCGCGACGTCGCCACCGCCATCGAGGCCCAGATCAAAGAATGGAGCGGCGGCAGTCCTCCAGTAACAACCTCACGTCACATCGCGGCTCCACCGGGCTGTTGTTGCCGACGTCGGGAACGTGAAACGCACTCAGGCAAAATGTTGGCAGCAAAAGGACGGCAACGCCATCGGTGCGACGCGTGGACGTGTCCTCTTCGCAGCACTAGGCAGTTGCAGCGAGTGGAGAAGAGTGGGACAACGCGTGATTAAAGTTAGTTATTGACATGAAAATTCAAATTTTAGGTTTGAATTTTTTTTCTTGTCGAGACAGTCTGAATCTTTTCAGGGCTTCCGAAGGAGGACCCCTATTGTTTACGATCTGGCGCTTCTTTTTTAATCTCCCAGGTCTGCTGTTTAAAAAAGGAAGACCGCCATCGGAATTTTTATCATTTTGTTTCTCGCCGACTGGCGGCCGTTTTGGCGGCGGGTCGACCGAGGCGACATCGCGCTCCTCTCCCCACTCAGCGCCGCAGAGCCGCAGAATCACGGCAGAGCCGAGGCCCGGACGATCCCTCGCCTGACTGGCACTGATTCCCGAGAGCGGCTATTTAGCTAATCTATCTAACCGACCGCCGCGCGCCGCCTCGCCGGGACGGAGTCGGGACGGAGTCGGGACGGAGTCAAGGGTGAGGAGAACATCCCTCCTCCCTTCCTTGTCCACGGACGGGGATAAGACGTTTAATCCCAAGTGGAAATTATGCCAATTGGCGTTGGGCGGGCGGGCGGCAAATTCATGCTTCGGCTTCCCGGCCTCCCCCCCCCCTTCCCCCCTCCCCCCTCTCCGGCCTCTCTACCCGAGCCCCGTGGCCCCGAGAGCGACGACGAAAATTAATAACGCAAAATGCGGGACTAAAGAATGTTCACCTGCGCGAATAACAATGTCCCGAGCAGGGGAGGGGAATTCATGAACCAGTTCGGTAACAGTGATTATAACAACGGCGCGAAAGCGAAATTTCCATTACATTGTCGTCACTTAATGAACCGTGAAGACAACATACAGCGTTGGACATGTCCTTTATTGTCAGAACTTTCGAGGCAAGGCTGCTCCCAAACAAAGGCGGGAACTCCGGTAAAAAGGCATGCAAAAGGAAGGTCCAAAGACGAACCATCCTTTGAGAAAAAACGACTGGATTGGACGCAGTGACCACTCAAAGCCAGCCTGAAAAAACGATTCCTGCGTTTTTGTCAACATTTCGACCAATTTTGAGGCAACACAGTGCTCCCAAGCTAGGGCGTGTTTTTCACAGTGCCCTCCGCAGTGCTCGCCGATATCTGTGATTCTGTTCTTTGGCGCCATTCTTTCGTCAGTTATGATTGAATAAAGGCCATCGAGGACGCCGAGGACGCCGAGGAAGCTCTGCACGACGCATCCGGGGAGAAGGACGAAGAATGGAAAGGCAAACAGCGAAATGGGGACGGGGACCAACGGGGACAGGGACGCTCGCGACGGTCGGCACGGTCGGCACTGTCCAGGGCGTTCACCTACTCGCTGCTTGTTCGCTAGCGCAGTCCTTGTCGAGGCTGCGAGGCCCTTCGCGTCGGGGCGGGGCGGGGCGGGGTGGGGCGGCACGGCATCCCCTGACTTGTTTTCGTGCCACGGCGCCGCGGGGATGACCCATTTTCCCTCTGCCTGTGCTTCCCTGGCCAGGGCATGGCCAGGGCATGGCCAGGGCATGGCCAGGGCATGGCCAGGGCATGGCCAGGGCAGCGCAGCGCGAGACTCTGCTGCGCTGGTGGTGCTTTTACAGGACGGCCGCCTCTGGCAACGCTTGGACACCGCGGCCTCAGGCCGGCCAAAGCGCGACAACGCCTCCCCGCGTCCCACAACGACACGCCGCCTGAGGCGCCCAGCGGGTTCGCTTCGGAAATTCGGCGACATTTTTGACACATTTGACGCTTCAGCGCCGCTCCCACCCCGTTCACCCCGTAGGCAAAGTTGTTCCGGGGGAAAGGGGGAGCTAACAGAAGCTGGAGCCGTGAGGAGGGTGGCGGAGCGGAGGCGGGCTTCATCCTCCTACAAGACGCGTCAAAGCGGGCACGGGGATGTCGCCGAGATGCCGCCTCCTCCCTCAAAGCCCTTCTCGATGATCTGGACGCCGCGCTCGCTTGTTTTTCGACGACCTTCAACCCATCCCCCCCCCCCCGCCTCGCGCCGTCGTCCTCACATCGCGTGGCCGCGCGGCGCGCTCTTCGCCTTCCGCGTGCTGCGCGTGCCGCGTCCTCTCTGTGGACGCTCTCGACGTAACGACGGCGCGCGACACGTGGCCGCGCGCCCAGGCTTGCGCAGGCTTGCGTAACACGTGTGGAAAACAACCCGTCGCCCGCGGTCGCCCGCCGCCCCGTGGAGAGAGCGCCCCCCTGGTGGCGAACCACCGCCGCCGCCGACGAAGAAGACGACAACGACGACGGGAAAATGTCGTCTTCCTTGAACGGGAAATGTTTTCCTCCCGCCCTACCTCCCCCTGCGGGCTGGAATAAATTCCCTCGGGACGTATTACCCCGCCCACGGTCGTTCCGTGCCGCCCCCCGCCGCCCCCACCCCCTCCCGGCCGCCCCCAGGCCGCCCTCCAGGCCGCCCCTCGTGTCCTTTGCCGGGTCGTGCGTAGTGTCTGCGCCCTTCCAGCCAGCCAGCCACTGGCTGCCGGGCCTGCCGGGCCTGCCGGGTGGAGGAAGAGGAATGGGACGCCAATTTAGAGTCGATTTCATTTTCCTGCACGATGCTGCTTCGCTGCTTTGCTGTCCGCGTCCCCTCCGGCCTCCTTTGCCTCGCCGACTGCGTCTGCCGCCACGCCGCCATGCCGCCACGCCGCCATAGCGCCGCGCTTCCGAGGCTCGCCGGGGAAGGGAGGGACATGGCGGCGCGCGGCGGCGCCGGCCGAGGGCGCCGCATTTCAAGTTTCAAGTAAGGGGTTCCAACTAGCAGCCTTGGGGTGGCTTCATGGACACTATTTGTCGGGGTGTTCAGCTCACGCCTCGAAACGAAAACCTTTTCATCTCACGGCCCAGTCATTGTACGCATAAAGGCGAATTACTATTGAACTCCACAGGAAAACAGTGTAGGCGACACGCCACTGCGCCACTGCCCTAAAAAAGAGCGGTTATTGAAACGCGGACGCCGTCAACGCCTTGCTGCATCCCGGCCTCCACTCCACCAGCCTCGCCAGCCCCGCGGCGTCGGCGGGCAGCAGGGCAGCTCGAAATGCGCAATGGCCACCCATTTCCTATATTCAGCCGCTTCAGTCGAGGCTCTGCGGGGCTACAGCCACTCCGACCGCGGGGAGGAGGAGGAGGAACAGAGGATTTGGAGAGGGGGAGGGGGAGCGCTCACACCGCTCGGCGCCACTCGGCCACTTGGCCCCTCGGCCTGCCAGCCTCGGCCAGCCTCGGCCCGCCTCGGCCCGCCTCGGCCCGCCTCGGCCACCGCAGCTGACGAGGCTGTTTTTATTGCTGCTGCCGCTGGCTGACTATGGAACTAGAAAGGGGGCGGGGCCGCGGATGGGGGCTGTTCTCTTCGCAGCGAGAGAGACATGAACTTCGTCACGCAGCGGCGCAGTCGGAGTGCCGCCCGTCTGTATGTGTGTGTGTGTGTATGTGCGCGCAGGTGCCTGCGTGTGCGTGTATGTGTGTGTGTGTGTGACAATTTGGCTCACGGTCCGCATGGGGCTGCGCCGGGCTGCGCCGGGCTGCTCACACACTCGACGCTAGACTGCGCCCCCCGCCGTTTCACCGTTTACTCAGTGTCTTGGCGCTTTGCACGCTTTGCACTCTCCCCGACTCTCTCCGCGCGGCGGGGCGCCGTGGAACCACCTGAGGGCACACGGGTCCCGACGGGTCCTGATCCTTGCCACAGGGCCGGGAAGGCTGCGGGGACGGGGCCCGGGGTGGCCCCGGGGGGATGGTGGGGGGGGGGGAGGGGGATGGTTGTGTTGACGCATCCATTTCCCGGCGGGATGGTGGGATAGGGCTGGGAGCTCGGCAGAGAAGATACGGGTGCGTTTTCAGATCAACGATGCTGGGCCACTCCTCTCCACTCCGGGCGGCTCAGCGCGCTCAGCGAGGGTGACTGCGGCCTCTGGGAGGGTGGCGACGTCGGCGTCGTCGGCGTCGAAGAGGCGAGCGAGGCGGGAAACGCGCTCAGCTTTCGTGCGTAAATTTGACGGGACGATGGTCTGAGATTGACATACTTTGGACTTTTTCGTTCTCCCTGGGAGGTGGGCTGGTCGTCTCTTCGGTCCGCTATTCGATGACGAAATGAAATCGAGAAATAGTAACTCGATAACGACTTACCTTTCTGCGAGCCATCGCGCGAGTCGTTGCGCACCCGTCGCACGGACATGGCTATCCGGATCGTGTGGAGTGGAGCGGCCGCCTCATACTAGCAGCTGCAGCTGTGGGCACCACCATCACACAATTACTTTCTGCGCGGCATAGCACGCCGCCCTTTCCCACCCCACCCCACCCCGCCCCGCGCCGGCTCAGCGTGCTAGTCCATCCGCGCGGATCGGGGGCTCGGGGACAATATCAAAGCCGCGGGAGGAATGTTTGTAATCCGGCGGGTTTGTGGTTCGAATACCGGCAGGGCGCTGTGGCGTTTTTTGTTCGTTCCAGCGGCCAGGACTCGCACATAAACTGAGCCCAGATATTTCCGCGTTACAGTATTAAATTTTAAAGGGACTTCAGAAACATTGTTTCTATACCACAAAAATTTTTAAATAGGAAGTAAAAGAAAGTTGCTCAAACATTTCCGCAAGCTCGAAAAAGAAAGTCGAGCGTGAGAGCGGTGGGCACACTGCGATGTGTGAGGTGGTGGAGAATGGGTGGGGGATGGTGTCACCGGCGACCCTCACTTGTCAACGTCGCGGCCACGCTTCGCCACGCTTCGCCGGATAATGTCACCACCACAGAGCCCTGGGGCTGTGAGCGGCGCGCGGGCCGCGAGAGGTGTCGCGCGTGATAGCCCGATGGATAACCTGGCATACATCAGCGGCCCCGCCATGCACCCCGTCATGCACCCCTTCTCGGTGCACGCGGTGGGGCTGGCGCCATGGTGGCGGGTTCATCCCCATAACCACAGCCACATCGACCATGGTCACCATGGTGCCATCAAAGCGCCGTGTTATGGCCATCATGACTCACGCAATGGCATTGTCCCATAAGGCTCGAGGTAGTGCCTCGTTCTGAGGCACCGTGACAACCACGTCGGAGCCATGACAGGAAGATGGAGGTTGCGTGCAGGGAGCACCATGACGGCGGTCGCACTGCTATGGGGATGCAGCCTCTGTGACGGCCTGCCCGACGGCCTCTGAGGTGCTGCCGGTGCTGGCGGTGTCTTTGGGGAGTGACACTGCGCGGGCATGGACCAGCGCGCTGCGCCGCTCGCGGTGATTCCCTCCCCCCTCCTCTCCCCTTCCCCCACGCCCTCCCTACCGAACACGAGGCGACGACTCCGCTCCGTCCAGCCCGGGGCGCCCCGCTGTGGGCGTCGCGTCGCGTCGCGCAGCCAACCCGACCCGACCCGCGCGCCACGGAATCCCCGGTGCAACTGGCGCCTCAACTCGAATCGCACGCCCCGAGAATCACCCCCTCCCCTCGACGCGCCCCTCCCCCTCCCCCGCCACTCGTGCCTCCCCCGCGCAGCTGAGCCGCCCCCGCGCGCCAGTGAGTGGGGCCCGGCCCAGGCGGCCCAGCCTCCCCGGGGCGGGCCTCGATGCTGGGCGCCCCCGGCCACCCCCGCCCCCCGGGCCGCCCCCGCGCCGACGTCGTGTCTCTGGAACCTGTGCCCGCCGTGCCCGCTGTTCTCACTGGCCGGGCCGGAAGGCGGGGGTGGGGGTGCGGCGGGCCGCCGCGGGGAAGAAGTCCTTCGATATCAGCGGGACATGCATCCCTCTGCATTGATCGTGGCGGCCGCGCCTCCGTGCCGCGGCAGCCACATGGCACCCCGGCACCCGCGGTACCCGCGACACCCCGGCACAACCCCTCCCCCTGGAAGCCACCAAAGGCCTGACTCATTAGCTCACTTGGTTGCAGGCAAACTGCCTCGCGCCACTGCCGCGCACCGCCAGTAGTAAGGGTGGCGCATTGTCACCGCCGCCATCTTGGAACGCTCAGGGGAACGACACAGGACAGGGCCACCATTGGGCACCGAAATGGCAACGGGTAACAATGAGGCGTTTATACTACTGGCCCTCGGCACCGGAAGGGGTTAACCACGTGTCGCGGGGTGACAGTCAGACACCCGTCCTCCACCATGGATTCCCCCCCTTTCCGCGAATCTGTGCGCCGCCATCGATTCCGAGAACAGGACGGTGAATGCAAATGCCCGCGGGACGCTGCGGGATGGACAAAAAGAACCAATCATGCGAGGGGCTGAAAAGAGAAAGAACCGTGTGCCGCTAATTGCGTGAGCGGGTTGCTCCGACCCAGTGCGGCGCCCGGCCGGCCAGCCAGTCACAAAAAAATTCATCAAAATAAACGAAATCCCCCCCACTGTCAATCTTTAGAATTGCGAACGAGCGGGGCCTGCCAGCGTCATCGTCTGGCGCCGAACGCCGTGATGTAGGCAACCCACTCTGCTCCACACAGCGGCGCTCTCGGGTGGCCTGCTGTCACGGCGCTCCGCTCCGCTAGGAGACAGTGCCGCTAGGAGGCCAAGCCGCCAGGAGGCCATGCCGCCAGGCCTGCGGGCCGCCCCGCCAGTCTCCCTGGCACAGCCATGAACCCCGCCATGCACTCTGCGAATGAGGCGCGCTTGAAAAGACTTTGTTGGGGTGCCGAGTCAGAGAGAGGGGGAGTTCCAGGAAGGGCCGTCGGCTGCACAATGACAGAGCAACGGGCGCCCCCGCCCTGCCTGCCAGGCTGCCAGGCTGCCAGGCCAGGATTATGAGAATTAATCGAGAACTAGATCGCGCTCCGCGGGAGTTTATCCTGGCCCCGGATTATTCGTGTTTTTTCTCCTCTCCCTCCGTTTGTTTTACGCCGAGAAGGCAGAAAAACCCCTCTGGCAGTGACGAAGGGCGTCCTAAACGCCCCCATTCAATATCTCGGCGTTACTTCTCGAGCTGCTTTTATTTTTCCTTTTTGCGCCCCACTTACACCTCTGAGGGGAGAGCGGACTGACAAGCGGGCACGATCTAGGCCGCCGCCGTCAGGCCGTCAGGGACGCAGTGACGCGCCAAAAAGTGTGCGTGTGTTGGTGTGCGTGGCCACACACACACACACAGACACACACATGGGCGCGGCAACGGCAGCCTACGGCAGCCCAGACGCCGACGAATGGCGCGGCTGGCGCGGCACGCCGTGACCCCCGACCCCGTCCTCACTGGGACGGAATTCTTTTAATACCGCCTTTATCGCTCAGGGCGGCCGCGCGAGGAAAACACTGGGCGACGACGGCGATTGGACGCCTTCTGTCTTCGCTTCTTCGGCGGCGTCTGTGACGTCACGTCACACGCGAAGACGGTTATCCCCGTTACCCCCGCCCTCGTGGAGCCGGTCGCGTCGAAACGCAGTCTTTGCAACGCCGGAAATTGGTTCATTGTTTGCGGTCGCGAGGTGAGCGCTGAGCCGCCATGACCACCACCACCATGACCACCACCACCATGACCACCACCGCGACCACCGTGCGGCCGAGTGGGCAGACACATCGCGCGCCATTCGCACCACGCGGCGGGAGGACTCGCCGGCGCGGTGGCCCCGGTCAGGGGTTAGAGAGAGAGGGGGGGGGGCTAGTGTCGCGCTTGTCGCGGCCGGCGGCGAGATGTTTGCTGAGGGCAGTGCGGGGCAGCGCCGCCTAATCGGATGAGGCACGCTTCCGACTGGCGGCCCGGCAGTCTGGAGACGGCACCGGCTGAAGGACCCCACAGTGCGGCTGCTTCTTCGACGTCTTCGGCGACTTGGACGCGCCCGCGGCGGCCGGTGCCGCGAGCTGCCGCGAGCTCGCGAAACCCACGGGAGCGCCAGGACGTTGGGACGTGGCCGCGACCACTATTTAACGACGCGGCCGGCCCTGTGGCGTGTATTTGAGCATAGAGGTTTGGCCACGCCGGAGGAGGGGCTTGACCGACGGCGGCCAGGCGCACCCAGCCCGCCGAGCCAGACGGGCAGCACGCTAGTGTACTACACGACGGCCGGCGGGCCGCGGCGACAGCAACAGCACAGCGACGTCCAGTCACCGCCAACGAGTAAGCCAACACCTGTTTTAGTGCCTTTCTTTCGGCGCGGCCAAACGGCCAAACCTAGGACAATGCAGCACGGCCAGTTGCCCGTAAAGTGTGTCGCGTGCCGCCGTCAGCAATCCCGCGTCAGCGCGGCGGGGCGGCGGGGCGGGGCGAGACGCGGTGTTCGCGCAGTATGCAAACGCCGCGGACGCCGCGTGGACGCCGATGCCCGCCGCGCGACGGTGTAGGGACGCTGGCCCACACACACGACGCTCTGGGCCACTAGGCTGCTCGTTCTCCGCCACGGTCGGCACCACCTGCCCTCGACCGCGTCGTCCCCCCAGGCCCCCCAGGCCCCCCAGGCCCCCCAGGCTTTCCGGCCGGTGAGTGAGTGAGTGCACAGGGCGGCGTCGCGGACGAGGCCGCCGTCCGGCCGGCCGAAGCGGCCTCAGCGCCGCGCCGTGCGGCATGTGCTTGATAAGGCCCGACCGGCCGCCCAGGGCCGGGCCTAAGTGCCGGCCGCGTTGTAGGTTTCGCTGTTTTTCTGTCTCTCTGTTCTTTGGTTTTTCGGTTTATCTGTTTTTCAGTTTCTTTGAACCGCTCTTGGCCCACTTAGCAGTAGGTATTTGTCTGCATCGACGAGTCGTACCTAGATGGAAATTTGCAAATCTTTTCCCTCCTGAAACGTGACAGGGGCACACTGTTTCTGTTCAACTCATAAACGAACTGTGCACGAGTACGTTCAATTGGTTCAGCCATTCGGTGGGTACTCTCGTATCTTTCTCTCTCTTCCATTTTTCGTTTTTGGTCATGTAGTTGTTGACTTTGCCATGCCGCCCGCCGAGTCCGCTGAGCGTGACGTCGTGGCAAGGCGGAGCGTGGCGGAGCGTGGCAGGGCCCAAAACTTTGTCTCCGCGTCCGTCCTGCGGCCCGCGGCCCGCGGCCCCGTGCCCAACCACTCTCACGGTGTGTCCGGCCGCCCGTGGGAGAATGATGCATCTCGCGGATCCAGTTCGGCAGCAAATACCGGCATCTGGCGTCGCCGCCGCTGGCAGTTACACTAGACCGGCGACGGTGGCGGCGGGACCGCTGCTGGTATGGGAGCGCCGAGGCGGGCGACATACGCCACGCGTGCAGTGGCCGCCGGGCCGACGCTTTAGCAGCAGTAAAACCGTGTCGGCGAAGAGCCTCGCGGAGTTGTAGTGCTTCATGTAGCTCGGGTGATTAATTCGTGTTCCTGGGCCGAGCAGGCGCTGCTATTCTTAAAGTCAAAACGAAACATAACTCACAGTGCTGCCGCGCGCGGGTTTCCGTCTGAGCACCGCGTGGTCGGTCTGTACATACGGACGCTGGTCCCCACCAAAAAAATGAAAGTCAAACGAGCTAGAATGTACTCGATTTTTGCCCAGTTACGGGTGAAACTAGCACTATGTGAGTTCTGTGTCCTAATCACAACACACGTTTTGTTTGGGTTTATGTTATTCGAGGAAAAAGCAAGCCTTAGAAACTCAACAAAGAAACTTTTCAAGAACAAAAAGCCTGTAATCTTCATAAAATTATAAAAAGTTCAGTGTCTTTATTTTTTTTTAGCGTCCGGCAAGTATAGTTCAAATTTTACCTGTGTGAAAAACCGAATCCTCCGGAGCATCAGAACTTTTCTCGCGGTTTCCCAATTTAATTTTAACAGTGCACGGGTCTTGAGCACCTGCTTAGCTATCGCGCTACCTGCCTCCGCCTCGCGCCTCCGGTAATGATGCTCCAGAAATTGGCGGGCCGCGTCATTAGCGTGTCGTGGGAGCGGCGCGGCACCGAGGCGCGAACCGTGAGCCGCCGGCCGTGCGACAGAGCGCGACGGAGTGCGACATGGGACAGGTGGGAATTATTATTGGTGGTGCGGCGCAAAAGATCACCTCGGAGATAAAGTAATCATAAAGCTCGCGTCGTGGGCCAGAAGCTGTTCAGGAGGACATGACTCTAGACGCGCTGTCAGATCTAGATTCTCCACAATTAGGAAATTTCTTGCCGCTAGCATCTATTTAGGCATGATTTGAGTGCTCAAGTGTCTTTCGGTCTCTGTCGCATCAACTTGCTCTTGCAATATCCGGTGTAGGGGCAATATAAGCTTCCTCCCTGCAAGATAAATAATTTCTGGGAAGAAATGGTGGCAATCGGAAAGGAGGCGTCACAGCCTCCGCCTCGCCATCCGGGCAGGCCGCACGGACCCAGACACAGGCCCAGGCGGGGAAGGCCCCTCGAACACGTCGCCGCTGATTCGCGTGCAGTAACCCGGCTCAGGTCGTTCCGATTTATACGACGTATTTCTAGAATCCGCAGCGGGTCCCTGGACGAAAGTGACCCCGCAAAGATGGTGCTCCACCCTGGGCGCGTTATGTCACGGCACTCGCAACGCGTCGCAACGCGTCGCAACGCGTCGCAACGCCACCGACGGTGTCGACATGGGAAGGGGCCTTGCCGGGCCCTGCCGTCGCCACCTTTCAACTTTAAATCACCTCCGGACTTTTTTTTTCTTTCTCTCTTTTCTGTGTTATCCTCTGCAGTTCGCGGCCTGGCGGCTGGCTGGCGGCTGGCTGGGCTGGCGGCGCCCGGCCGCGTGGATCGGGTTCTACAATGCCGTTTACGCAACTTGTGCCGGTGACCTCTTCGATAAGAGTGCATTTCCTCCGCGCTGGCTGCCACTCGCTGGTGACATGTATCGCGCACGGCGCACTGCACGCGCCTTGGCGCTGACGAGGCCGTTTTGCGTCTTGGCGGCAGGAAGTGGACAGTTGCCCCGATGCACTCGCAAATGGACTGACCTGCCCATCGACAGCTGTTTGAATCGTTATCCGGGAGGGGCAGACGTGCTTTTCCCGAAATGTTTTTCTATGCAAATTGAAACTTCGACCTTGATGATCAGCTGCTGCGGAGCACATTGACGCTCGCTGTACCGAGAAGTGCCGATGCTCATCTGTCTTGCGCTGTCGGCAGGTGACCCCCGACCGCCCCGCCCCGCCCCGCCCCGCGCGCGGCGCAGCCCCTGGAGCAGCCACGGACCCCAGCATGGTGTGGGTGGCGGTCCGCACGCTTGCTGGGACCACCTGACTCCTCCCAGCCCGCGGTGAGTACTTCCACGATCTCTAACACACGAGCTTGAGAATGAATTCGCCATTCGTGTTGCCTTGCTCGGCGATGACGGCCGTTTTCGATTCCCCCACTCGCGAACCGCCACTGCAAAAATAACGAGTCCACCGCGCGGCCGTTCAAACCATTATTTGCCTGCTTTGCCTGCCGTGTGGCGCCGTCGCGCCCATGGGCCCAGCGGGCCAGCCAGCGGGCCAGCGAAATGATGGCTAAATTGCGCCTTGCGACAGTGGCTGGCAGTAACCTTTTGTGATCGCGCGCACGCACGTGAGTGTATCGGGCGCGGGGGGGGGGGGATGACACGCGGCCTCGCTCGGAAAGCCACACTCAGCCCCACCTCAATTCGGTGCTTCGTCGCTCTGTCTCTCTCGCACCAATATGGCACGCCCCGTGGGTGCGAGAGAGACAGAGCGACGACGCCACTGCACGGCATCGTCGAGCTGGGCGGTCCATCCGAGGCACGACGCGGCCTCATTAGGCGCCGCGCGCCCCCTGGCGGACGGCCCGGGCATACTGGGGGCCGCCCGCTGACCTGCTGGACCTGCTGGACCTGCTGCGAGATGGATGGATGGATGGATGGATGGATGGACGGCCGTCGGACGCGGCTTCAGGCGGGCACGGCACTGCATGAAATGGCGAGGCAAGGCCGCACCACGGCGCCACGCTCCCGATGATGAACCGGAGTTTGTTGGCCGGATCGGCCGGCCGGCCGGGCGCTGTTTGCCGACATGCTCGCGCAAAGAAAACTAACGTGCGCACTCAGCGGTCGGCACCGCTAGCGCCCCCCCCCCCCCTCTCCCCCCGCGGGCCGCGGGCCGCGTCGATGGCACCGCGTACTCCCACCCATCGGTTTCCGGGACGAACACCGTGGTATTAGAACATGTTAACGCAGTAATGAATTTGGACGCAGTGTAGGAGGGCCGGTTGTCGAGACGTGGTGACGGCCGAAATCCGCCGACGAGTCGAGCACTTGGCCGCATTCGGCAGCATGTCGACACGCCGGAAGGAAGATCCCGTCGTCTCCGTGGAGGAAGGCTTATCTCCGTTCCTGGAAGCTGCAGTGTGTTGTGCACCCTTTGATCGAGGCCGCCCGGGGACCGCCACTAAGCGACGACGACATTCATGCCCCGCGAGCACGGCAAGGGTTGCAACCGCCCGGTGCGGACGACAACAACAGCCGGATTGCCAGCACACCGGAAAGGCTGACGCACCGCCGTGGAGTCGCGGCTCGCGTCGCGACTCGCGGCGACAGTGTTGAGGCGCGGGCCCCGGCCGGCCGCTGGCTGTCCCGTCGCGACAGAACGACAGAACCGAGTAGAATGCGTTTCCCTCTTTTTCTCTTTGCCTCCGTATCGTCCGATTGGCGACGAGATTGTCGGTGCTGCTGTGGGGGCGAGCGTGCGGACAGGGCTAATTATAGAGAAACGATGACCTTGCCCGGAAAGCGTCGCGCGCGCCTCGAAGACCCGTCCAAGGCGCATCGGAAGGAGGCGGTGGCGGAATCGGATGGGATCCATCCGATTTGTCGGGTTGCCCGTTCGCCAACCGGTCGCCTCACTCCATCCGGTTGGCCAGACTGCGACGCGCGGCCGGCCGCCGCCGGACTGTCTGCCCGCCACGCCAGTCCGTCTGACCGGCCGCGCTGCCCATGCGTGCGGTGCGGTCACCAGGGTTCAACAATGTGACGTAAATCTTGTTTGTCACAAACACGATCGATCAAGTTCGGACGCCGGGATTCCCTTCGCGACTTTGGCGGAAAGGGAGCGATTTTCCTTTCCTATTTGCCCTGCGCTCTCCACAGACTCTCCTCCGCAGAGACGATGAAAGGCCTCTTGAACTTGAACAGCCCCCTTCTCTCCCGCAGTGCGGACGTCCGCCTCGAGGGGGCCCAAGATGGCGGCCCAGCCCCCGCCGTCGACCGTGCCGGCCGCGGCGCCGCAGCAGGCCGAGCCCCTCGTGAAGGTGTACCGGCGGCGGTGGCTGCTGCTGGCCCTGTTCGTGGCCGTGATCGGCCTCAACGCGGCGCCCTGGCTGCAGTACTGCGTCATCGAGGACGTGACCACGGCCTACTACGGCGTGTCCGGCACCATGGTGGAGTGGACCAGCCTGGTGTTCAACGTCACCGCCATGCTGCTCGCCTTCCCCGCCGCCTGGCTGCTTGACCAATACGTGAGTAACCAAGAATGAACTGGGAGGAAAAAACGGTTTTACGAGTTTTTTGGAAAAGGTAGCTTCTTCTCTTATTTTGTTCAGAAAGTTGTGATTAAAATCGAGAACTACGCGTGCTGGAGGCTTAGCGTGCAGGTTCCTACGCCTCCCTTGTGGGTAATCCAGCCTCGTCGCCGCGGATTCGAAAACAACCTTCGCCGCCAGTCCGACACGCCACGCCCCCCACTGCCGTTCGCTGCCGGGGAGAAATAACGAAATAATGCAGTCCGCCATCCAGGTTCAGCGAGTCCCTGTGCAGTCCGGGCCGTCCGGGCGTCCAGGACAGGACAGGAAAACCCTTTCCCACCGCCTTCGTTATTGATGACCATTATGGCGTCGTCTCCCTTCAGTCCTTGGCGGCGGTGGCCGCGGCCGAACCAGGCCGCGCAGACTCACTCGCCGTTTTAAGCGCTGCTGGCGCGTTGCGCAATAACAAAAATCGGAAACGGGATTTTGAAGTCGGTCCCTTTGAGCGCGACGACGGTCGCGACGCTGGCCGTTCGAGAGACAGCCGAAGTTGGAATGGTTGGGGCGGGCCGGGCGGGTCGGGCCAGAGTGCCACGGCACTGCCCTCGGCGCTGCCGGCCCGGCACTGGGAATCACATTATCACTCGCAGCCTTGCTCGCAGCCCGTGGAGAAGTGGAGCAAATTACCGCAGCCAGCGCAGCCTGCCGCGCCGTGCCTCGGCCGCCCCGTTGTTCGCATTGTTGCCGACGTGCCGCGTGCGCCGCGTGCCGCATGGCGACTCGGCAACTCATTTATCGGACCTGGTTCTGATATCGATGTGCGATTCCGATTGCGGGGCGCCGCGCTGTCGCGCCCCGCGCCGGCGCTCGCATGCCCGACGCACCATCACTGCAAAACGAATGGAGTGGACGTGGACCCACACTGATAAGTGTCGGGGTGACTGCGATGGCTGTCCGGGTGGTCTTTTGCAGTCACGGCGTGACGTATCGACGAAGCGACTTGCTTCGGGCGGCCGGGTGGGCAGGCCGAGGGGCGGGCGGTGCAGACACGAGACGGGCCAGGATGCCTGAGTGATGAGGCGAGGGTCGAGGGATGGCAGCTCGCCTAGCTGGCGTACTTCATCGGCGGGGCGACGAGTGAGCGTAAACAGCCGTTCCCTTTCTGCCGCAGGGCCTGCGCCGCAACTTGCTGATCGGCGCGGGCGGCACCGCGCTGGGCATGTGGCTCAAGGTGGCGGGCTGCTGGCAGGGCGGCTACTGGATCACGCTGCTGGGCCAGGTCGTCGTGTCCGCCTCCACCAACTTCGTCATCTCCTCGCCCGCGCGCTTCGCGGCCGTCTGGTTCCCCGCCAACGAGGTCTCCACGGCGCTGGGCGCCGGCCTGTTCGGCCAGATGGTGAGTACCGAGTACTGGTGGAGGCGACGCGGTGCTCCCGTAATGGTAATGGTACTGCGTTGGAGCGCCCGGCGGGTAGGCCGCGCGCCGGCAGCCGTGCGTCGCGCAGTGGTTGCTGCCTACCTGCACGGCGCTCGCTCCCGCCGAGAGACTAACTAGCTCACACCCCGCACGCCGCGACACCTTTCGACAGGCCCCCCATTCCCAGCAAACTGAGTTCTCCGGCAAGCACTCTTGCTCCCGGTCGTCGTCGCCGTCGTCGCCGTGGCGCGGGGCCCTCGACGGGGCCGGTCGGGCTGGTGCTAATGGGGCTCCAAGTTGGTCGCCACCTTCGGGACTCCCCGGGACTGGCCGGCTCCGCGCTCAATCTCCACAAGCCGCGTTTCACCGCTTCCCCCTCCCCCTCCCCTTCTCAGCAACTTGTCTGTCACCACCCCGCCGCGCGCCGCCCCGCTGGAGAAGTTCTTCCCGTGCCTGCCGCGGCCTTGCAGGCTGATTCCGCGCGGGAGTCCCGCCGATCTGTCTCTCTCGCACCCACACGGGGCGGCCCATGAGTGCGAGAGAGAGGACCCCCGCTCGGAATCAGTGTGCTGCCGGCGCCAACTTCGCCGAGTATCATCTCTGACAGCAGATGAATCAGACTCCCTCTCTCTCTCTCTCTTTCACTGAATTAGAAGGCGCGCGGACGCGGCGCTCCGAGTGACGTCACGCAGCAGCTCGACTCCGAGCAGTGCCCTCGTCGCTGTCTCTCTCGCACACCCCTCCGTGACGCCCCATGAACGCGAGGGAGAGAGACAGGAAGACGAACCGCTCGAACTGCAGGGCGTCATCCACGCTAGGGCCCTGCTTCGAGTGCTTCGAGGCGGCAAGGTGCTCGCACCCTGCCCGCAGCGTAGATGCCCTTTCTACTGTTGACTATAATAATAGATAGCGTAGTCAAGACGCCGCGCGCGCTAAAGGCGGCTCCGTCGAGATTCCCCAAAGGGCAGCTAAGCTTTGCATCATGGAGGAGGCCAGGACCAGGGTCAGGTCACGGCACTGGAAGTGGCGACGCTGCGGCCTGGTGTCTGCTCAGCCGCCGTCGGGATTAAAAATTTAGACGTGCTTACCGCCGTGCTTACCGCCACTACCCCGCACTTGTTGCGCCGCGGTGCCCCGCGCTGCCGCCCCGCGTTCGAACGACCTGCCGCGCCAACCGCTGCTTTTTTGGCACCGCGGTCCCTCGCCGCTCGGACCGTTTGGACGGCGGCCAAACGCGAGGGGAAGCACCTGGCCGCGCCCCGCCGCCCCGGAAGCCGGAAAGGCTGATTCGCAACAGTCGCTCTGTCTCTGCCGCTCTCCCTGGGAGCCCCATCGCTGCGTGGGGGTGCAAGAGAGACAGCGAGCGACGAAACGGTTCTTCGGAATCACTCGGCAGGACTCCAGGAGCAGGGCCAGCTTGGCTGCCGCGGTGATCGGCGTGTAATCGCGGCCGAAGTGGGGCAGCCAAGCGGCGCGGGGCGGGGCGGGGCGGGGTGGGTCGAACGTGATGGGGGTCGGCGCCTCGCTTACGGTACGCGTCGTCGGTGCGTGCGGGGCGCTGGCCGATGGGCTAATTGTTTCCAGCAGCGCACTCTGCTGCAACCCTGTCACAGCGCTCGCCAAGTTTGCTCCTCCCTTGCCCGGTACCCGACGCGCGCGTTGCGCACTCGGCACACAGTGGGCGCTTCCTCGTTCCTGAAGGCACCTTTGCATCTCTCTCCCTCTGTCCGCAGGGCGGCATCTCCCTGGGCTGCGCGCTGGCGCCGCTCACGGCCAGGGCGGACTGGTCGGACGAAGACATCTTCTGGGGCTTCATGCGCCTCAACCTGAGCCTCGCCGTGGTGGGCACGCTGCTGCTGCTGGCCGTCATCTGCCGTGAGTGGAATAGCCAACCCTTCTTGCGCTGCCGCCCCTCCCTATCTGGATGACCTTGGTTTCCCCTCGGCCGGAGTTTGCTTCCCCCGTCACTCGGACACACAGCGGAGCTGCCAATACTTTTGTTCGTGCACTTTCGCCGACTCCTGTCGGGCCGTCCTTCCAGTCCTTGCCATAATTCCCTGGCCAGCCTGTGCTCCTCCCCCCCCCCCCTTTTCGCCGCGCCGCAAACACCGATGCCGCCACTACACTTTATCCGGCCCAAGTTGCCACACTCGGCGCACTTGCACGCCGCCCTCGCTGTTTATGCATGCACTTTGCGAACAAAACGGCCGAGACGCCGAGACTCGGCAGGGCCCAAGCCGGCCAGGCCGCTCGAGCGCGGGCATAAACATGCTCATGTATATGACCCAATTTAAATTCAAATTCCACGGGCCGCTCTTTGGCGACTCGGAGGCCGGGCGTCGGCGAGGTCCGGGCTGGTCCAGCTGTCCAACCCCGAGCCCTCGTTGACGTCCTCGGCGCAGTGTTCCAGGACGCGCCGCCGCTGCCGCCCTCGCCCGCGCAGGCCGCCGCCAAAGCCGCCGCCGAGGCCGCGGCCAAGGCGTCGGCGCAGTCGCTGGCCTCGACGCAGACGCAGGCCTCGGACCAGCCCCTCACGGCCTCCACCTCGTCCGAGTTCGTGGCCTCCATGCGCCGCATCTGCAGCAACATGCACTTCATGGTGCTGCTCGTCTCCTACACCCTCATCGTGTCCGTGTTCATCGCCGTCAACACGCTGCTCAACAGATTCGTCACGCACTTCTTCAAGGTTCGCGCCTTCTTTTAATCCTTGTAGTCTGAACCTTATTCACACGTTGAGCGACACTCGCCTTCACACCCTCCATGTTGTGCTGCAGGACGCCAGCGCGGACGCCGGCTTCCTGGCCACGCTCATGACCCTCACCGGCATGGGCGGCATCGTCGTCGTCTCCACCGCGCTGGACCGCACCAAGTGGTTCAAGTAAGACTCAAAGGCCTCGGTGTTTGCCATTTCTTGATGTTATTTTGCAATTAGGTGACGGCCTTCTTCGTGTGCGCAGGGAGCTGTCCGTGGCCCTGTACGCCGGGTCGCTGGCGACCTGCGTTCTGTACACCGTCACGCTGAGCAAGGGCTCCATGCACGCCGTGTACTGGGTGTCCGCCGCCATGGGGTAAGTGTCCTCCCTCCTTCCTTCCTTTTTCCCCGGTCGCCGTGTAGCAAAATCACAGTGGGGTGGCGAGAATTGGGGTGGGTTGTCTGCGTTTTAAGCGGAAGTTTGCGCTCCAGGGCCTTCATGTCGGGCTTCTTCGTGGCGGGCTTCGAGATGGCCGCGGAGCTGACCTACCCGGAGCCAGAGGGCAACCCCACCTCCTTCATCAACTGGATGTTCCAGGTAAGAGCGGGCCTGTAACAGGCCGTGGCCGCCAGGGAGTCCCTCGGACTCACTCAGCCGTTATCTTTCCTTGAACTCCGACAAACGAGCTAACCCCCTGTGTGCACCTGCAGCCCTTCGCGCTCAGCACCACGCTGGCGTACTCGCAGCTCTTCGAGGACCTCGGCGCGGACGCCGCCAACTACTTCCTATGCGGACTGCTCGCCCTGGGCCTCGTCGCCGCCATGGCCATCCCCCGGAAGTACAACAGGCTGCACGCCGAAAAGGCACTCGCGTCCCTCGCCAAGGACGCCAAGGACAAGGACGACAAGGAGCAGGTCAAAGTGCCCATGCCGCCACCGCCGGCCGCGCCGTCACCGCCGTCGCCGCCGGCCGCCCCGTCACCGCAACCACCTCCCGTGTGACGATACCCCTCGCCGCCAAGGACCCGATCTACCTGCCCCAAGCAGTGTCTCTACTGGCACGGAGTATTGACGAACTCAGAGACCTGATATCAGGCGCCGCAATCTTTCGACATCGAGTGTCAGTTTACCGCTCTACCGTGGGTGACTGATTCGTATTTCGCCTTTCCATTCTTGTATTATACACATCGTGGGTTTTAGGTGTCTTATTGTGATATTTTTATGACGTAGCTGTATGTTCCTGTAGCCACTGGCCGCAAAAGAAAATGTTACCTCTATGGAATAAAATATTTTATTACTTAGAGTTGATAAACATAAAACAACAACGACCTTCTCAGCCATCGGCTGCTAAGAGTAAGCAAACTAAACACTAACTAATTTTGTTCATAGACGTAAAATTATTTACAATAACTTACTTTGAGCTTGGAATACAACATCAAAACATTATATAACAACACAATCTAAAACACAATGTAAAACATGTAGCACCACCAATTCATGTCATACAAAAATCATATTAAAATACATCACTCCTCCGCCCATTCATCTAATTGATCTAGCGTTCGGACGACCCTGAGGCGTTTAAAATTGCCACAGTGACTGTGGCACCTCCAGTCCGCGGCTGTGCGGCGTGCACGCGCCGCGGAGGGCGGCAGGAACAGGGAAGTCTCCTCCGCGCCAGTTCCGAGGGAACCACTGTCGTTCCCGCTGCCCAGAACCAGACGGAGCCTTCACGCACCCGTCGCACCACTGTTGTTCCTCACGGAGGAAAGGAGCTGGTCGAGTCGACGTCGAGTTGCACGCAGAGCAGTCGTCGCGTGCTCACGTCGCCGCCGCCGCCCGCAACCGCTCCAAGTCTTGCGAGGCGATGGAGTCTGCAGGCAGAGGGGACAGACGGCTCAGAATGCAGAACGCAAAGGAGGGAGAGGGATGATTGGCCCGTCGATACCCCATCAGCGGGGGCCAGCAAAGCGAGTCCCTCGCACGCGGAGTAGCGACGGCTCAACTTGTGTTACAGTGGTAAGTTGGCAGAATCGGAGTGTCGCTACCCCGCGCGCGAGAGAGAGACCCTCCACGACGGGTCCAACTCGCCTAGCCGGTGGCTGACCGGGAAACACACCTTTGCTCAGGTACATGGAGGCCTTCCTGGACCCGTTCCAGGGCTGCACTTCGGCGGACCCGAAGCAGATGAAGACGAGGTTGCCCAGGAAGAACATGGCGCAGGTCACGAAGAACACGTACCTCCACTGCTCGATGGACGTCTGCAACAGGGAACGAACGCAGTGCTCAGTCATTGGCCGTTTACAGTGTGCGCGCGTGTGCGCGTTTCGCGCCGAAAATCGGAGCGGCCGTAATTTGGCGGCAAATGATGAGCCAATCCCTGGCCGGGCGGGGGCCTCTCCATCCCCGTTAACGCAACAACCCCAACAGACAGCGCGAAAAAAAAAGTTGATGGTAGTCGAACCCGCGGCTCGCGCCGCTCGCGCCTCGGCTTTACCTGGTCCGTGACGATGAGCCCGACGGCGATCGGCGCCAGGGTGGAGCACGAGTTGGCGAGGAAGTTGCCGAGGCTGAAGGACGTCCCGGAGAACTGCGGCGCCAGGTCGACGTAGTTGACTTGGAAGCCGACGTAGCAGCCCGCCTTGAGCCCCAGCGCCACCGTGAGCAGCGTCACGGCCAGCGGCGGCGAGTCGCTGATGTAGCCCACGCCCAGCATCGTCAGCCCCGGGCCCCACATGCCTGCAACACACGCCGAGTCACAGTCTGCGGGTTCGAACACTCGGCTTCAAGTTCATTTCGCGCACCGATGGTGTTGAAGATTTTGCGCGACGCAGTCAGGGTCAGCATCTTCCTCTCCGTGATGAAGTCCGACAGCCACGAGAAGGCGAAGCTGGCGAACCACGTGGTGAGGTAGGGCAGCGCCGACAGCAAGCCGTTCTGCCAAAACGGAGAAGAATGATCCACGTGGGACAGGCATTCCGACTCCACAAACTGCACCGATCAGACGTACCTTCTTTATGTCGAACTTGAGCACGGAGCTCATGTAGGTGGGCACCTCCGTGATGAAGGTCAGGAAGCCCCAGGACTGGCCGGCGTGCGAGATCATGGTGGCCCAGAGCGGCACGCACGTGATGATGGACAGCCAGGGCGTGCGGGTCCTCTGCAACACAAAGCACGCCGATGAGGACATCCGCCCTTCAGAGGACAGCCTCCGCGGCCAGGCTCGACGTCGAGCCGCTTGGCTACCTTGAGCTGGTTGCGCATGCTGCCGCCGATGGACCGCTGGATGTAGTCGCGCTCCACCTCGGAGATGTGCTTGTGCTCGGCGGGCGAGTCAGCCACGAAGATGAACACGAGCACGCCGACGAGCAGCCCCAGCGCCCCGGACGCGTAGAACACGCTGGGCCAGCCGCCCGCCGACGAGGACAAGACCCCCGTCACCGGCAGCATCACCACCGGCCCCAGCAGCTGGGCTGAAATTCCAAAAAAAAAAAAAAAAAAGTTGAAACACGTGGAAACTTCCAGGCGGGCGCCAAGAGAATACACACAATGCGTGAACCGTTTTCCGCGCGGATGACTCCAGCGAGGCGAGGCGAGGGCGCCTGCTCCGCGCCCCGCCCCGCCCCCGCCGGCCTTGAACTTACCTCCGATGACGAAGGCGGTGAATCTGCCCCGCTCCAAAGGCGGCGCCCACTTCCCGAGCAGAACGTAGCACGCCGGAAACACAAAGCCCTGCGAGCAAACGGACAACAAAAGGTTGGTTAGGTCCGGGCGCCGGGCCCCGCCCTGGCTCCAGGCTGGCTCCAGGCCCCGCGCTTCAGGCTCCAGGGGCGAGAGAGGTCCTGGCCGCGACCGGCGCTGGAGCCAGTCAACCGGAGAAATGGCGGGGAAGGGGGAGGGGGAGGGGGTCGCCACTACGCTGCCATGCTGCTGCACCCCTCAACCCCTGAGCCAGGCCGTTACCCGCGCCTCCATCCATGCGGTATGAAAAATTTATGATCCGAGTCCAGATTAGATGATAAATATAAAACTCGATAAAACTGCTCGACTCGAAAGGGCAGCTGCCAGAGCGGCGCGGACGAGTGCTCTGTCTGCGAGAAACAATTTTCTTCTTTTTTTCCGACGGACAGTCACTAGGGAAAACCGACCTGCCCGACCGGCCTCGACGCAGCGGAATGCACTGGCGGTCGACGCGGTGCTCACCTGACACAGACCCGACGCGGCGCGCGTCACCGCCACCGCCGGCCAGTCGCCGAAGATGGCGGCCACGGGCAGCAGCATGGTGAACAGCCCCGTGCCCACCATGGCGCCGGCCAGGAAGAAGCGGGCGCCGAAGCGCTGCGCCAACTGCGAGGCGGGGATCTGCATCACCAAGTACCCCCAGAAGAAGGACGACAGCACCACGCTCTGGGTCTTCTTCTTCCAGTCGAACACCTGCAAACATTTTCAAAAAATAACGTCCACCTTTTTGTACATTCGACCTGTTCAAACAACAACACTCCATGCGAAATTTTTATCTGACTTCCATTGGTAAAATGTTTGGAAAACACGTTAGCGAGGCGCGCAACTCACGGGGAAGTCCTTGTTGCCGCTGGCGGTCTGGTTGACCATGGCCACGATGGCGACGCTGAGGTTGACGCGCAGCGAGTACGCCGTCGAGGTGCACAGAAACAGCAGCAGCGCCTGGACATGGCGCACGCCCCACTTGGCCCCTGGAGCACAACAACAACGCCGACATGATGCACTCTGCTGGGTACGCCGCCACGCCGCGTTGTTTATGACCGGTCCCCGGCCTCCAGAGGGCACGCCCTCCGAACCGCCCTCCCACCCCCACCCCCTAGCAGCCCCTCGCCGGGCTGTTTACCGCAAACTCCAAAACGACCCCTAATGGCGGCCGCGTGTGTGCGCGAGGAACACGACGCCGACCCGCGAGGCCCGCGAGCTACGCGTGAGGGCACGGCGGCGGGGCACGGCACGGCACGACACGGCACTCACGCTTGCGACGGCGCCGGGCGTCCGGCAGCAGCGGCGTCTCCTCCGGCGGCTTCACGAGCCCCATGGTGCGAGTTCTTCGACGACGCGGACAAGGAGGACGTGGAGGCCCAGGCCGCGGTGTAGGCTTGGAGGACGGCGGCGAGCCGGACGGGACGGGACCGGCGTGTGTTGTGTTTACGTCCGGCGGCCGGGCTGGGCGCGCTGCGAGCGGCGTGACGCCGGCTTGGCTTCGGCGGCTGCTTTGACAGCTTTGTAGGCCCAGCCTGTCCACCGTGCAGTGCAGTGCCCAGGCTGCCAACCTCAGCGACCTCAGCGCTGCTCAGCGCACGCCGCTCCGGGCCTCGCTCGGTTAACCGCCACCGCGCGGCGATTCTGGACAGCACCGTCGTTCTGTCTCTCTCGCACCCCTTGCAGCGCCGCGTGAGTGCGAGAGAGAGAGAGAGAGAGAGGAACCGGCTAACGCGCTGCACCGCACCCACGCCGGGGGAACTCCTCCTCTCCTCATCCCTTGCCCTCTGAACCGAACCCGATCAAATTAAGAGGCCGATGCTGTGGCTGTGGGGATTTGAAACACAAGAGGATATTGGCCAAGGGCCTGATAACATCAGTTGGAATGGGGGGGGGGGCAACGATTTTCACCTCGACTTGGCGCCCCCCTGCCAGGTACCCGTGAGACCCTAGTTGAGAAGCCGAACCCGGCGAGTGGCGACCAGCCTAAGCCCAGCGCGGCACGGCACGGTACAGGCGATCAGGATCAGGGCTTCGGCCCCTCCTGGCTGTGCCGTGCTGCCTCCGGCCGAGTGCCAATGCGCCACTGCGTCACCCGAGACGGCCGGCGTCTCGTGTTCCGAGGTAGGGAGCCGGAGGGGTCAGGACTGCCGTCCGCCGTCGACGGACACGGCGATCCTGGCGGGGGCGGCGTCGGTGGGCGGGGCGGGGCGGGGCTCTCGCCCGAGACCAAGTCATCGAACGCGAAACCACAGTCCTGCAGCACCGGCTCAACGGACAGCAGGCCCCCGTGCGGCCCTGACCAGCCCTGTGGGGAACATGGCCAAGAAGAGCGTTCTCCAGGAGTGCTGCCCCGGCAGGGACGGCGCAGGTAGGGCAGGCTGCTGAAGCTGAAGCTGAAGTGCCACTCGATGGAGTGATTCTCGCCTCGGCGCCTCGGCGCGGTAGAGAGTTAGTTCTCGAACTGGCCGATAGAGAGCGCGGAGGGAATGGAGTGGTGCCAACACGTTTGGAAATCAGTCACAAACGCGGCCTGTTTTCCAACTTTTCTGGTTCAGAGTACGTAATGCGCGAAATTTCAGAGTAAACGAATTTTCCATGGCGTTTTCTTTCATGGTGAAACTGTGCTATACTTTGTGCCGCTCCGCGAAAATGAAACGTGGCAAATGAAAAAAAAGGCGTCGACGTACACGTTGGTGGCGCGGCCTGAGTGCTGGTCCTTGTCGTCGTGCGGCCCGCACCGCCCGTCCCGTACCGGCCGTGCGGTGTCGAGGGTCAGGGAGCCACAAGAGCAGTTGGGCCAACACAATTTGTCCCCGCAACTTGCTGCCGTTCCGCGGCGGCCCCGAACGCCCCGCACACCCCATGCAGTGTGCCGTGCTGCCTTCCTCGTATGAAGCCCCGCCCCGCCCGCCGCGCCACCCTCAACCGCAGCGAAATGCTGGCCGGGGGGGAGGGGGGGCTCTCATGCACTCACACCGACACATCGCCAACAGAGCCGCCGCCGCTAAATCCAATTGCTCATGCACACATGCACCCACCCACCCACGCACGCAGCGGCGGCGAAGCACACCCCCTCCCCCCCTCCCCCCGCACGCCGCCATACGACCTTCACTATCCCTCTCTTTCGATTTACCCTTTTCCGGCTGGCTCCGCATAATTGCTGCCATTCGTGATTCCATCAAAGCCCCACCGCCCCATCCACCCGTTCATCCCCGCGCCCCGAAAAATTCATGGCGGATGCCGTTCGGGCAAAGGCACGTGCATGACGGCATTGTCGTTTTTAAACTAGAAATTTCGGGAAACTTGATTGGAAAACATGGTCGTAAGTTACGGTGTGGTTGAAGGTCGGAACCCCTTGCCGTATAATTTGTGCCGCTCTGCTCGCCCGCGCGGGGGGACTCTCCGACTCCCCACTAGCGGTGTGTCGGCGCGTTTGGTGTCCCATTGAGGCGTCATTTCTCCTCCGCCCCCGCCACCGCTGCTGCAGGTCGTACAGTGCACCGCACAGCACGGCGGCGCGCCGCACGTGCGCGTCGTCGGCGTCGTCGGCGTCGTCTCGTCCGATCGGTTCCGGGGCGCCGAGGGAGTCACGTGCACGTCGCACATCGGCCGAGCCGGGCACGAGACGTGCTCGCTTCTGGCCCGTGTGTCTGAGCGTTTCGGTGTGCCTGTGTGTGAGTGCCGCTGTTTGTGTGCTTCTGCTATTTATGCAACGGTGTTGTCTCATGGAGGCCCAGGTCGGCGTGTTGCTGGCCCTCGCGGCCCTGCTCGCCCCCGCGGCCCCCGCAGCCCCGCCGACTCCGGGGGGTTCCCTCCGCGAAGACGGCGCCCCCTGTCCGCCGTGCCACTGCAAGGATGACACCCTGGACTGCACGGGGCTGCCCGCGCCGCGCGACGCGTCCTGGATGCAGGCCTTGACCGGGTGGAACGAGACGGGGTGAGTATGCGCTCCTTTTGGCGAGTGGCTCCCGAGAGTCGCTTGGTCGTTCTGCCTCTCTCGCGCCGCTACGCGACGCGAGAGAGGCGCAGCTCTGGCCGAGTCCGCCTGCGAACGGCAGGGTAGGCGGGGGTCGCCATGTTGGGCTCGAGTCGACTCAACGCGGGTCACGTCGCTCCGTGTTTGTCCTTGATTTTCGGTGGTACAAAGTCGGTTTTCCGGGTCGAACGTGGTACCAGTCGGTCCGTGTGGACGCCGTGCGTCGAGGCTCGAAGTGTCGCGGTGATCGGTGCAACAGTGTCCGAGTTCTGTGCAAATTAGTTTTTGGCGCCTTGTTTACAAGGCAGCGTCCGTCCAGCCAGGCCACTACAGCGGCGACCGTGTCCACCGACCTGCCGGTCGCAGGGCTGACGTACCGCGAAAAACCAGCAGCCAGTGCCCCAATCGGTGTCCGCGCAGTGCCCAGTGTTCAGTGTTCAGTGCAGTGTTCAGTGCAGTGTTCAGTGCGGTGTTCAGTGCAACACCCAGTCCGTTGCGTCCGTTGTGCAAGCGGCCCGGCCATGGATCCACCAGTGCAGCGGTTGTGTGTCCCCTGCGTCGCCCCCCTACCTGCCATGCTGACCCGATGTGCCGTTCACCCGTGTTCAACAAGGCGATCAGAGAAGCATTCACTGCGCGGGAAATTTCTCGGCGGGGCCCTGTAGCGGACGGGAAAAGTCGCCATCATTGTGCGAGCGAGCGCGCGCACGGCGGCGCACGTGCAGCGCACCGCCTGCAGGCTGAGTCCGGGGTGTGCCTTTGTTGCTGCGTCTCTCTCGCACTCGTGGGTTCCCCCAAGGGGAGCGAGAGGGACGGCGCGACGAGGCGGTGTCCGGAGTGGACCGGCTGGCCCGCCGGGCCATGCCGAGCAGGGACCTGCCGGAGGATTGGGGATTACCCGGCTCGGCACACCGACCGCGTCTCCTGGGGCTCGGCTAGGCTCGGACAGCTCGACTCGCACCGACGGCGCCGACCAGATGCAGTGCAGTGGCAGGCAATGCAGATTGCCAGGTCAGCGCGACAACGTCCCGTGTTGCCACATTCCTAGACACCAGACAAACTACTGCGCACCCGGAGGGGCGCACCAGGATAACATCACGCCGTGGAGTCATAAGGAAGGAGACAGACACCTACACCTATGGATGAGTGCCGATTTTAACTTTGGTTATGGTTCTTGGGCTGGTTGTGGGTTGGTTTTGGTGTCCACCTCTCTGCGGTTGGCTGACCGGGCGGTCACCCCCTCCCCGCCGTCGCCGCCACCGCTGCAGTCAACAGGGGACGCACGGCCTGCCGAGGTCGCGGTCACAGCGGCGATGCGGCGCCAACCACCTACGCGCCCGGCGTGTAGGCAGCACCAACAACGGTGGGCTCCAAGGGGTTGCCTACCTATCGGGCGCTCCCATCGGGAGCACGACAAACCCCGTCCGCATGGCGCGGCCGGCTGCCAGCATGGGCCGCGGATTGGCGCTCAGCAGACAGACCGGCCGGCCAGCCGGGGCCCGAGAGCAACGCGCTGTCCCACACCCCGAGAGCGGATACAGCGCAACGCCCCTCCAGCCCCCACGACCCTTGTGACCGAAGAACACCAGCCTCGCACCTAACCAGTCGTTGCATGTTGTGTTGCACGGAGGAGACGGGGCACATGCCCTCTCTCTCGTAGTCGCAGGCCTACAACAGCATGCAGAGCGACACAGAGGAGCATCGCGGGGAAGGGCTCCAGGCCTCACACCGACGGACGCCGTGGCGGCCGAACACGAGTATGGGGTGGGCGTAATGCCTTGGGTTAGAGTCCTGTTCCAGCCGAGAGGTCACATCAAGAAAAGGGTAGGGGTGAAGCAAAGTAACAATTGCCAAGACGCGTCAAGAAAGAAGAGAAGAAGACACCGAAGGTGCAACTGTTCCCGAGAATAAGGGACGAAGCAGGCGGGTTCCGGACTCGGTCAAGCTCAAAAGAGGCTGGCCCAGGGTAGGGACGGCACAACCCTCACGGGAAAGGCCTGTCACTAACCCGCGGGGAAGGCACTCTGCGAGCCAGGGGCATGTAGCCGCTTGAGGTTCTTCCCCGCCGAGGTAAAGTTCTCCCCTAGTAAGGACGACCATGTCCCGTTTTGCAGTGCAGGCGGGCATGTGTCGGGCCCGAAATGGCATACGATCATATGTGGTCTAGCCCTTAATGGTAATGGTAATGGGGCGCCGAGGGCCGAGGCTTCCCGACGACACGGGTGCGCCGCGGGAGTGCCTGCCCGCCAGGGAGAGAGCGGGACTCGGAGGCGGACGCCGCCAGGACGTCGCTCCTTGCTGCACGGCGGCACAGCCGAGCGCAGACGACAGGAGGCTGCGTTCCGCGGCGTTACTGCCGCTCATCCATAACGTGCTCGTAAACCTTGACACTCGTGAGCAGGCAGCGCCAGGCAGCGCCGCGTCGGAGCGAAATCGAACGGCGTCGGGATTAAGTGTAGCAGCGTTGCGACGCCGCCCCGCCCCGCCCCGCCCCGCCGCGCGACCCCAAGCACACACACTGTCTGCGATAACGCCCCACGCGAGGCGAGACGCAAGACGCGAGGTCTCCAAATCCGGCGGTGTGTGGAATTCGCCGGGCGGGCCGCGGCGGTGCAACCTCGAGGCGTAGCGGGATGCGATGCCTTGACTTCGCGGTAAATCACGCGCTGTTTGCAGTGAGTGCGGAAGATAGGGCGACGGTAGCACGGCGTGGCACGGCACGGCACGTGTGGAGTGCGCGCCTAACTAGGAATGAGACTTTGGACGCGGAACGCGGGGGTGGCAGAGCGGGGGCGGCTCCGCGCTCTGCTCCTGCCCGCCCTCCCTCCCTCCCGCCCAAACGGCCAATTCTGCGCGCGGCCCGCGGCGGCCTACTCTCAATGGCGTCGTTGCATCGGCCGGAAGTCCCGGGCAAGCCGGAATGTTCCGACGGCATGCTTCCCGCGGTCACACACGTGCCGCTCCAGTAAAAAGGTCTCTGGACGTGGGGGGATTTGAACCCGGGTCGCATTCATTCTTCCGACGGCCCTCTCGGCCCCTCCCTTCACTTACCGTCCGGCGGCTGCGGGTCCCTGCCCACCTCCAGCACCTCGCCGCTGTGCAGCTGGATCTGCTTCTTGCCCTCCATCAGGATGCCCAGCTCGTCGCGCTTCTCCGCCTCCTCCTCGCACGCGCTCTCCTCGTCGTCCTCGTCGTCGGCGCTCGTCCGGCTGCCGCCATCCTGGTGCTTGAGGTCACCGTTGGCGACGCCGTTGGCCTCGCCGTTGGCCTCGCCGTCGGCGTGCTTGTCCTGCTCGCCCTCGCCCTTGATGATGTGCATGGCGACGGGCTGCTGCTGCTGCTCCTTGGGGTCCGCCGTCACGGTGCCCACCATGTCGGCGTGGCGTGGCGGTCTAGGCCTAGAAGAGGCACTCTTGGTGGCCGCGGCGGCGCGTCGCTTTGCAGGGACTGGCCGTCGCGATGCCGCCTAGGAACGTGATGGGCGTCGCGTCGCCGCCGAGCTTGCTGCTTGCTGCTTGCGCCACGCTACGCGCTCCGCCCCCCTCCCCTCCCCTCCCCTCCCCGGGCCGCGAGGTGATGGTACTCTTTTCATAACGCGCACTATGCGGAGGTTAGGGCAGGTCTGTGTGCACCCCAGCGCCTGGCCTGCCTAGCCCGCCCCAGGGCCCGGCCCCGCCGGCCCCGCACCCCGAGCGCGGAGGGTGGGGGAGGGTGTAGCACCGTGGGGCACTTGTTGGCGTTCTAATCAGTACCAGCGACACACACTGTCACGCACGAGTCCTTGCCCCACCCCGACCGTCAACATGGTCGTAAAAAGTATCAAGGTCGGCGACGGGGATGGCCGTCAAGGCCGCCAAGGCGCCAAGGCCGTCGACCGACGAGGCCCTGGCCTCGGCGATTACCCTACCTCGCTGTCGTGGACTGCGGTGGGGCTGCGACACAACCTGGAGCAAGAGGCCGTTGAGGGCGCACGGCGCACGCCGGGCTGAGTGAGAAGCGAACCCTTGGCCAACCCGAACGAGGCTTTTTAGGACTCGAACACGTGCTTTCTGCAAATTCCTCCTCAGATAAAGTTAGGTTTGGATGACTTGAATCCCTTGGAACGTACCATCCGCCGTACGTTTGGTTCGAGTCCCATTCCACGAGATAAAATAGATGAAATGCGAGACGCGAAGCCTCCCCCCGAGAGGCGCGGGACCGCTGCGCCACCGGGATGCGAGCGGCGCCGCCTACAAAGAGCTCTCGAGATGCCTCTGCAGAATGCGCATAACGCATTCCACCGAGATTCGCGTCGCTGTCGTCGCTCCTCCGCCAAAAACTGCAACTCTCAGGACCGTCTGCGCCTCGCCACTTTGTCACCAGCGTCGTTGTCGTTTCGACCGGCGCGTCGTGTCCGTGTGTACAACGACACGAATGGCAGTGTGCAGAAGCCCGGCGAGCCAGCTGGAGGAGGAGCTGCAGACTGCAGACGCCATTCATGTGCTAACTACAGCGTGGCGGCGTGGCGGTAGCCGGCGCCGACCGGGCGCCAAACAGACACAGGGCGGCGTGGACGGCGTGCCGCGGGCGCGACGAGGAAGCGGCGGGGCGCGGGCGCGGCCAGGCAGGCAGAGAGAGCGCGCGTTCCCCGCACGAGACTCAGTGTCAAGATCACGGGGACCGCGGGGACCGCCTTCACGGCGAAGGCTTCCCGCCATGGCCGACATTATGCAGTGTCGCGACCGGGGCGGCGTGGAAGGTCCCAGGCCCCCGTCGAGGCCCCGCGCTCGAGGGGCGGCAGCGGCGGGAACGGGGAGGGTCGACGACGCGCGGGTCGGCAAGACGGCGACGGCGGCCTGCTGCAGCCCTGCGCGCCGCCACTCGGATCGACGACTCGCCAACTTGTCAAAGGCGGACTTAGCGCCAGCGGCGGGTTCCGCCGTCAGAGCAGGGCGTTCTACCGGATTCGACAGCGCGCCGCCCGCCCTCCGCTGTAGCCGCTTGGACCGCCTCCTCGCGGGCCGACAAGGGCGCCGCCAGCGCGACGTCGTCGCCGACGTACGTGGGAAGTCGTAGAACTCGGTCTGATTCTACGGATCGGTTGTTGTCGCCTGATTTGGATTCGGCGAGACGTGGCGTTTCGTGTCGTGGCGTGGCGTAGCGTGGCGTGATTTCTCGGCGCGTGTCCCTGCTGCCCGTGTCGCTGCATGATGTCTCATCGACGCCGTGCTCGGCCCAGCTCGGCCCAGCTCGGCCCTCCGCCGCGCCGGCGCCTCGCCTCGCCCTCGCCGTTCAGCAACAAAGACGCGGGCGCGGGTGGCGCGGGTATCCGAGTCGCGGAACACGCTGGCGGGGCGGAGCGAGGCAGTGTAGGGGCAGCACGTGCCGCGAGCTGCGGCGTCCATACCCCGCGCGCCAGGCGCCAGGCTGCAAGATAGCGAGGGGTAGCGGCGGCGTGGAGACAGCTAGGCACGCCGGGGCACGGCAGCCACTGGCAGCCACGGCGGGCTGGTCCTTCGACGGCAAGCAAGCGGGACCTTGAAAGGGCCGCGACAGGGCGACAGGGAGGGGGCGTTTAATTCATTGATGTGGCATCGCATACAATCACAACGGGTTCGGCGATCGGCGACAAGGATGGGCGCGTGAAAAAAAGGGGGAGGAATCCATGCAGTCGGACCCTGTGTGTGAGACGATGGCCACGCACAGTGGGCCAGAGGACCGGCGTAGGCGGCCAAAACGCAGGCGACTCCCCCGTCGCCGTGCACGTGCCGCAAAGCCTCGCGGAGACCCACCCATTTTTTCCGCCAATGAGAGCGAAGGAAGGACCCTCGCCACCGCCGAGAGTCGTTACGTCGCTCCGTCTCTCTCGCACGCCGCGGGCATGCCGTGCGCCCCGTGGGTGCGACGGAGACAGAGCGACGCAATCCGCGGGCCGGGGTGGCGTTATCTGCGGCGCCGCGTCGCGCCGCGTTGACACAGTCTAAACACATCCCTGACTTTGTTAAGCCTTATCGCCCGGTCTAAGTCAGATCGGTAGGCCTTGGGAATGCAGAAGGCCTCGGCGGGGCGTCTGGGAACCTGAACGGCCCGCTCTCCGCGACGGCCTGCTGGCCCTGCTGGGGCCGAGTGGGCTGCCTACCCCACACGTGCCTGGGCGAAGGTGGCCCGCGCTGCACGTGTGGGCGGTGTGGGCGTGTGGGAGTGTGCGTGGGTATCACTCTCTAGGTGTGCAACCAAAGTTATCTGCCGGGGCGCGAGGCGAGAGGGAGCGCTCTCGCCAAGAGAGAGCGTGGCAGTTGACACCCGGTGCTGCGTTCACCTGGTCCATCCAAGTCCGTCCAGGTCAGCCCGGCCGAACCACTAGCACCCCGCACCACCCCGCACGGCCATGCCCCAACCCTCCAATGCCCACGTCCGCATCAGCCCGCCAAGTGAGTCGCGGAGAAGGCCTTCCAGTGGGGACGTCTCCGAGCGAGAGGAGTGTGACGAGCGAGAGGATTGTTCGAGCCCCGGCGCCATGACCATGACCATTCCCGTCATCGACCCAGGGAAGCGGCTCGGCGTGCGCCACCTCCAGGCCTGCCTCATGGCCCTCGTGTCCTTCGTGGCGTACGCGCTGCGCGCCAACCTCAGCGTCGCCGTGGTCGCCATGGTGCGGACCAGGCCGCGCAACCAGACGGCCCTCGCCGCGGCCCTCCTCAACGAGACCAGCCTCCTGAACGGCAGCGTCGTCGGCCTGGCTGGCGAAGGTATGGGCGGCGACGTGGAGGCCGACGACATGGTAAGCAGACACAGTGCAACGCAGAGCGGGGGCTGCAACTTGTCCGAGTTCCCGGGCAGGGACAACACGCGAGGTCGATTGCTATTTTCGAGATCGAGTCCCTGACGCCGAAATCGGCAAGTTGCGGCTCCCCGGTGGGAGGGTTGCAAACGGTGGCGGGGAACTGAAAACTCGTCGGCTGCCGGCAGATGTTCGACTGGGACGAGAAGGTGCGCGGCGGGCTGCTGAGCGCCTTCTTCTGGGGCTACATGATCAGCCAGGTGCCGGGCGGCATCCTGTCGCAGCAGCTCGGCGGGTCGCGCCTCCTGGCCGGGGCCCTCATCACCACCTCGCTGTGCACGCTGCTGCTGCCGGTGTGCGCGCTGCAGGGCGGCTGGAAGGCCGTGTTCGCCAACCGCGTGCTGCAGGGCTTCACGCAGGTCCTTCTCTCTCCGTCTTGCCACCGCCCTCGCCCTCTGGACCCAATTTACCCGAGATAACACACCCTGCTTTCTCGCTGTCGCAGGGCCCCGTCTACCCGTCCGTGTACACCCTGCTCGGCGTCTGGGTGCCTCCGCACGAGAGGGAGATCTTCACGACGGTCGTTCTCGGAAGTACGAACTACAAACCGCGCCAGAAACTAAGACGGGCTGGACGGTCTTGACGCTGACTGTCTGTTGTCTTTGCCTCGGCAGGCCAGCTGCTGGGCCCCATGCTGGCCTCGCCCCTGTGCGGGGTCATCGCGGCGCGCTGGGGCTGGCCCTCCATCTTCTACTCGTTCGGCGTCCTGGGGCTGGCCACCGGCGTCCTGCTGCTGTCCCTGGGCGCGGACAGGCCGTCCAAACACTCCAGGATCTCCGCCGAGGAGCTGGCCTACATCGAGTCGTGCATCAACGACGGCGAGGCGCCCAAGGCAAGGCCCCTCCCCCCCCTCCCGCCAAGCCGCCGCAAAGGGCTGAACCGGGAGATGATGCTCTTGTTGACCCCGAGCAGATGCAGCCGCGGACGCCCTGGCTGGCCGTCATCTCGTCGCCGTGCGTCTGGGTCCTGTGGCTGTCCCTGTCGGTGCAGGCGATGGTCTTCTTCACCTTCCTCACCAGCATCCCGACCTACCTCAACGGCGTGCTGGGCTTCAGCCTCGAGGAGGTGAGTCAAGCCGCCAAAGCGGCAAAGCCGGTCTGCGCGGTAGGCAACCCTTTCGGCGCCGTGGCGGTGTTGCACCGCCCGCAGGGCCGGCAACCCAATGGACGCCACCTCGGCGACACCCATGCCGCCTGCGGAGTAGGCAACCCATTCGACGCCACTTCGGTTGCCGACGCGCCCCATTCGACTGCAGGACGGCTCTATGTACTTTCCGGCGTGTCCACCAGAACGGCCTGCTCACGTCGCTGCCCTACCTCACCGGCTTCCTGTCGTCCTTCTTCTTCACCTGGATGGCCAACTGGATTCGCGACCGCAAGCTGCTTAGCACGACCAACAGCAGGAAGCTCTTCAACGCCATGGGTGAGCAAAGTAAAACTGTTTGCATTCGGACAAACCCTAGGGCGCCAATGCCTCCTTGAGGGAAGTGCCTCCGCTCTCCTCACCTCCGCCTGTCTCAGCCAACGTGCCCATCTCCGTGTGCGTGGTGGCGACGGCCTACGTGAGCTCCAAGGCGGCGTCCGTGGCCCTCATCTGCCTGTCGATGGGCTTCTACGGGCCCAGCTTCGTGGGCGTGCAGGCCAACTACCTGGACCTGGCGCCGCTGCACACGGGGCCCATCTACTCCGTGGGCAACATGATGGCGGCCGTGCTCGGCGTGCTCGGCCCGCAGGTCGTGGGGCTCATCGTGTCCGACGTGGTGAGCTGACGGGCCGGGAGCACCTTTGCATGCCAACTTCTTATCTTTTATTTATAGACTGCCGTGGTTGCTGATGTTTGGTTCAACAATTGTCCCAACAAAAAAAATGTTCTTTGTGTCCACTGTTTTAGACGGACATAACGCAGTGGAGGATAGTGTTCTGGGCCCAGGCGACAGTGCTCCTCACTGTCCTCATGCTCTACACCTGGCTGGGTTCGGGAAAGGAGCAGCCCTGGAACCATCCTGACTACAATCACAAAAGGAAACGTAAGTAAGCAGGACCATCACACGGGGTGTCATCCAGGGCCCGGTGCCGCACGAACTTTAGAACTTGTGCATTTGTTTGCATCATTTTTGTGTATGATTATTTCAATTGCAGGAAATCTCAACATCCAGGAGGAACTCGGTCCCGTCTCCCTGCAGGCCGTGCCTCTGCAAGGCAGCAGGACGTCGCTGAGCGCTTCGCCAGAAGACAAGATTGTTGCAAATGCTCACATTGTTGCTAATAAAACTTGAAACACGACAAACTTGTACAGTCCCTCCACCTACAGTACCTACCTCGGCGGGCGCCGGGCCGGGCGGTAGCGGGCGGCGCGCGCAGAGCGCTCCGTCGCTACTCCCCGCGCGAGGTTCCGCCGCCGCCTGGTAGGGGGCGCCACTGCCGGCGACTTGGCGTGGCGGACCCGCGGCATGGAGTATCCCCGCAACGACATCCACCAAAATCCTGCGAGATAAATATTTGGAGCACAGAATCTAGGTCACACAAATAAAGTGGGTGACCCGAAAAGCACGGTTGAAATGATAACGTCGGCAAAAGTAAAAGTAAACAGCCAAATTCGTCGCCACGCTCGAACCTGAACTAATTCGTTTCGATTCCCTTTTGGACTGCCCGTCGAGGGACCACCGCGCTGCGGGCCAAACAGGAGCCGGGTGGCATGTTGCCGTGTCGCCGTGTCGCACACAAACACTGGCATTGTCCGACGGCAGAGCCGCGGGGGGACATCCTCTGCGGATTGGTCACGCCCACGACGCCGCTCTTTGACTTTCCACCACCGCCGACTCCAGGGCAACTCTTTCTAAAATGTTAAAAAACGTGCAAGGTTAGGTAAAGTAACCTTCTTCTGAAATTATCAGAAATAAGTTACTCTGAATGACAAACCTCGAGTGAAAGATGTTTGGCTTGGTTGAGTTTGGCGCGCTGCGCGCTCGTGGAGCATCCGGTCGGCGCTGACGTAGTACCAAGCGCGGCCGAGAGATGGCGCCACTGCTCTAACCTGCCCCGTGCTACCACACTGGTCAAAAGTCTTTAAGCACGGAATAATAGTTTTTCAGCCTTTAGGAAGCATGACAACCCTCGTAGAAATAGTTTCTAGTCACTTCTAATTTATAGGAAGCATCCCCAGCCTCAGATTCGGTAATTCGTAATACCTTTTCGTTTTTATCGGATGACCTACTTTTTGTCAGCGCGCTGCGACTTTTCGCAAAACGAGTCCAAGGACGTCTCCGGATTTTCCCCAATTTTCCCCGGTGCTCCGAGGCCCGTGTCCACTGTAAAACGAGTGGGCAACCCTTTCGCGTCACGCCAGCGCTCTGTTTACAAGTCATAAATTTCAGTCGTCGACTTGACTCGGGAGTCGCGTCTGAATGCGAAGTGTAAGTGAAGTGGCCTACAGACCTACATAATCCAATCGTTCAAATTTGTATTGCGTAAGGAAGGACCTGCGGCGTTGACGAGTTTCCGAGGACGTGTGCGAAAGTGCGTCGATGTTGGCGCGTGCAGGACGCGAAGGAACAGCGCGTCGAGCTGCGTGGTCCTGCCGTGGGCCTGTCGGGAGACATGCATGAAGACGCCACTGCTGACAGCCGCCGCTACCGCAGCAGCTACCGCAGCAGCAGCATGAGCTCAGCTGCCGCGGCCGCCGCCGCCTCCCCGCTCGACCCAGAGCTCGAGCCCGACCCAGCTGACGCCGTGGAGGCCGTGGACGCCGTGGAGCTGCAGGTGGCCTTCTCGTCGTGCAGCAACTCAGGTGAGGTGCCGACCGCGGCGCTCAGAACCTTGTTGGCGTCCAGGACGAACCGTGCCAGCCGCGGGCGATGGCGACGGGGTTGCGGGCAGGTGGGCCGGGCAGGTGGGTGCAGGGTTGCGGAGGGCAAGGGCAGGTAGGCCCGATGGAGCCCCCCCCCCTCTTCCTCCAGGCGGCCGCGGAGGTGCGCGGGGCGTCACGGTGCGCTGGCGCTGGCAGGTGACATAACCTGCGAAGCGACGCCGCGGAGCCTAGCCGCGCCGCCGTGCCCCACCGGCCGGGCCGCGGACGGCGGCTAGGCCCGGCTAGGCCCGGCTAGGCTACGCTAAGCCAGTCGCACGGCTAGCCGTGGTCAGGCCCGTGCTGGGGCCGCTGGCCGCTGGCTGCTGCCGCCGGGACCTGCCCGGGGGTCGGTCGGCGTGCGACTCCGCGACTTGGACGGGGCCCGCCGTCCTAGGAGTCAGCCAGCTCGGCGTGCGGCAGGACGGGCGGCAGGACGGGCGGCACAGGCGGCGAGCCCCCTTCCCTCAATCGGTCTTAATCCCGGCCGAGGGGGCGGAGGGCGCCGGCTGGTGGCAGCGCCACACACTCTAACACACCCCCACACGGTGCCGATCGGTGCCCCGCGCGGCCCAAATACACTAATGCAGTATGCAATAAATGGGATGAATCGGCGGCGCTGTCACACTGTAGTCACTGCAGTCCCCGCGCCCTGGTTTGACGCGTTTGACGAGCGAGTCAAGGAGAGTCTGGCGGAACTGGGACGCGGTGCGGCATCCCTTTCTCGTTTCGGGACACGGCACCGGGAGTTTTTGTGGCGACTTTAACTTTTCGACAGGGGTTGGGTTTATTTGTTTGTTGGTGCTCCTGTCATCGGCTGGCTGCACTGCTCTGGGGCACCGGGCCATTGTGCGCTGGAACCAGGTCAAGCTGTCACTGCAGGGGGCGGGCAGGGCGGGCCGGGGCGGGCAGGGCGGGCCGGGGCGGGCCGGCCGGTCCGGCAAATCTTATTGTGTCGAGGATGCAGGGCACGCAGTGGACAACAGTGGACACGCACAGCAACAACAACAACGGGGACCGTGACAGGTAGTGTTTGCCCACAGCGGCGTGTGGGGGTGGCCCGCTGCAGGCCGGGCGCCCTGTCTCTCTCGCACCCCTGCGGTGAAGCCCGTGAGTGCGAGAGAGACAGGGCGCCTGTCGGAAGCAGCCGGGCGTCGCGTGCCCGTCTTTGTCTGCATGGGCGTGCGAAAGACTGAAAGAGGCGATGAGAATTGACGCAAAAAGTGTGCGCGTCCAATCGGGGTGCGTGGCCACTCTGTGGGCCTACACTGTGGCAGTGAGTCAGACCTGCTGCCCTGCTTTGTCTGCTTTCGTTTTCCATAACACTCACCCGGTGACCCACTGGGCCAGGGCCGGCTCGGCCCGGCCGGCCCAAATGTATTCCATCACATTGGATCGGATCGACGTGAGCATCTCCGCGTAGGCAAAGGCCACGCGGCTTCCTGGCGCTTCCCGGCTGTCTCTGTCGCACTCATGGGGCGCTCCGTATCGGTGCGAGCGAGACACAACGACGAAAACGACTCTCGGAGTGAGTCTCCGGGTCGGCGGCGCGGTCACCCCACTGCAGCGCCACTGTCGCCGCTCGCGGTGCACGCGGCCACGCGGCACGCAGCAACAGGTCCCCACGGCTAGATTTGACAACGTACCGGAGCTGCGTCGCCGCCTGCCGGGAGAACTCTGGTACGTTGTCAAATCTAGCTCTCTCGCACTCACGGGGCGCGAGGGCGCGAGGCTGACAGAGCGACGAAATACCGTCAGTCCGTGGAAACCGGGGGCAACGCACTTGCCTTTTGCGAATATAATACAACACAACCCGAGCAGCGCGCGAGCAGCGCCCTCGGCCTTCGGGGAACCGCACTTTACTCCACTACACTGTGCAGGGTGGGTGGGGGGGGGGCCGCGCTCGCACACCGGACTCGACGTGCCGGACAAAGGGGATGCATTGTGATGGGCAGCACGGCAGCAACCTTGGCGGCGCGGAGGAACACCCCGTCCGGCGTAGTCCGGCGGGGCCTTGGGGAGCTGCATGCTGCACCGGGAGCTTGCTGCAGCGGCGGTGCATTCACTTGCATCCTGGATCCCCCCCGGTCCGCCGCGGTCCGCGGACGGGGCGGCACGGTCCGGTGCGCACGCCGCGCTCGCGGAGACGCGGCACGGCGGGCACGCCGCGCTCGCGGAGACGCGGCACGGCGGGCATGGCCATGGATGGCATGGCGGCGGGCCTCAAAAGCAGTGCGTGGTTCTCAACAGTGCTCTCGTCGGTCTGTCTCCCTCGCACCCTGACGGGCCGCCCCGTGAGTGCGAGAGAGAGAGAGAGACCCCGCCAGTCTGCTGCCTGCTCCTCGTGGCGCTAATCGGCGGGCGAGGTTCTAATCGCGACTCGCCATGCCGCCTCGCCTGCGGATTGACTCCGCCGCTCTGTCTCTCTCGCACCCCTACGCGACGCCCGCGAGCGAGAGAGAGACAGCGCGGCTGCCGGCCAGCGCGACTATCAACAACACAAATTACGCGCGCATGGAGTCCACGCGGCCGGCCGGCCTGCCACTGTTTTGGCTGGACGGGCCACACTGCCACGCTCTCCGCCTTGATGTGGGTCAAACGCTGTCTGCATTGAGGCGCACTTTATTTATCTGGCTCAAGGACGCACAGTGTGCTTGCATTCGCCACGCTCCTCGTCGGGCTTCCATCCCCGTGAACCCGACCCAACTTTCTCGGAAAATATGGCATTGTGTTCGCCCGCCTCATTCATCCCACTGCCTTAGTTTTGGTGGTGCGATTGGTTGCGGAGTCGCGCGACCCGCGCGAGCCGACCGGGAACCCTGCATCCGATTTTCTCGTGTTTTTTTTTGGACGACGTATTTGGAAAGAGTTTGGACTGGAATTTGCTGTAGAGATTTTCCGAAAGTCCGAACGTGACGTTGGATAGCGTGGCGGCGGTCCGCGTCTGTCTCTCTCGCACCCCTTCGGTCCTCCGGTCCGCCCCCTGAGTGCGAGAGAGACAGCGACAGCGAAGCGCTGCCGCCGATAGCCCCCAGTGACGCCACGGGTTATCGGTGCGGTCATCCTCCACCCCCACGGACACACGCCGACGCCAGAGAGAACAAGTGTTCCGAACAGCAGACTCATTCCGAACGAAGCTCACGTCGCTCCCTGCGGGCCTGCGGGTGCGAGAGAGACGGAGCGGAAGAAACAGTGTACAAGCGCGGGATTGCAAAATGGCGAAAACTTACGGCCACTCGTTTATTGGCCGAAACGACGCCGCCGACGCCTTCGCACGCCGCGGCTGCGGGTTCGACTCCCACTCCCCCCCCCCCCCCCTTTCCCCCTCCCCCCGTCCGGGCCGCACCTGCAGCTGCAGTGCATCTGCCGTCGATTAGAAGTAAGCCGGCTGTGGCCCGGCCGACCCGGCCAGCATTAGCATCTCTCCCAGCTGTTTTCTGGAAAACGGCCAGAGTGGGAATGTTAATGTCCATGCATAATTTATTCACATGCGGGGCAGAAATTTGTGGTCATTTTTGAAAGGCGCTCCGTGGTCCCTGCATGCAATGTGCCAAATTTGAGACCGTCGTCTGAAAGTCTCCAGAATGCTTTCGCGGTGCAAATGCCGTCTTTATGGCGGGCGTCCGCGTCCAGTCGGTGACTCACGCGTCCCGGCTCTTTCCGCCACTGTTCCCATTATTTGGCCGCCACTTCCACGAAAAGGCGCGCACGCCTCGCCCTTTTGTCTCGGCGCTTCGTCGCGCCGTCCTTGTCGCACCCCCGCGGCGCGCCGGCACGCCCCTCGAGTGCGAGAGAGACGACTGCGTGCTGCAGCGGACAGTCTCCTGGACACGCGTGCCTCGCCGTGGCGTTGTCACAACACGCTCCGTGGCGTGGTGGTGCACTCCTCGGCCTGCAGTGGCGTGCAGTGCTGGCGGCCTGGCCGCGCTGGCGCACCGCTTGGACGCGCTTGGACGCGCTTGGACGCGCTTCGACCTGGTCTTGACCCCCTTCCGGTGCGCTGCGCCGCGCGCGCTCGTGTCAGGGCGCGCGCGCCCCGCGGCCCGCGGCCCCACCGAGGTAGGCGATGACGCGATGACGCCCCGATCGGCCGACGTCACTGCGTCACGGCCTCGAGGAGCGGCAGTGGGACTCCAGAATGAGGGAAGAACACGGAGACGGGCCTGCTCGAATCAAGCGGAAATAATGACGTGCCAACAGGGACCTCAGGCTCAGGATGGCCTCCGTCTGTGGCGTTCCGGCGTCGGTTGCGTTGGTTCACTCCACCTTCAACCCTCGGCACCCGTTTTCCGGGGTCACGCGCTTAGGCTGGCCCTGGCCTGCTGGACATGCGTCCGCAGCTCGTAGGCCTACCTTGCTGTACTAGTTTTAGCGTGTCCTTTGCAGCGGAGTTCGCCCCATCCACTGGCGAGGCTTGGGCCTTAGGTTGGCCTAGCGCAGGATCGCCAACACGCTCTCGGACCGAGGGTCCGTGGCACTATGGCTTTATCCTACCGCGCAGGCTGGCCTTGGCCGGCTAGTCTCACCGTGGCTTTTAGGCTGGCTCCGGAGCTCCGGTAGGGTCTGAGCGTTTGGAGAGAGAACACACTTTCAGAGTCCTGGCTTTTATTCCTGCCTGGGTTCGGGTGGTCAGCCCTGGAGACTCGTGAGTCCCCGAATGATCCTGGAGCAGAGATGCGGTTTAATTTATACCTTTGCGACGCACCCCTCCGGCCTCGGCGGCTCGCCGGTCTCGGCGGCTCGCCGGGCTCGCCGGGCCCTTGACCGTTCGGCCAGGCCCTTCGGGTGACTTCGGCTGACCCGAATCGAGATCGGCCGAAATCATGTGTGATTCCCCTTGGCGTGGGTGTCGTCTGCATCGGCTCGCCGCGCTGCACTCACAATGGCAGCCGCGGCCTCCTACCTGGCAGCGCTACAATGCTGCCAACGCGCCCTCTTCGTTG